TCTGATGTTAAGCTTTGGCATGTAAGGTTGGGACACCTTCCTTTTTTAGCAATGAAACATTTAGATTTCCTTCATTGTGACTCTAACTCTAATTTTATCTGTGATATTTGTCCTAAGGCTAGGCAAACAAGGAATCCTTTCCCAATCAGCACCATTAAGTCAAATCACATCTTTGATCTTATACATATAGACACATGGGGGCCTTACAAGTCCAATACCTATAATGGTTTTAGATATTTCCTTAATATAATGGATGATTATAGTAGAGGAACCTGGACATTTTTACTATCTTCTAAAAGCAATGCTTTTCCTATGCTCAAATCCTTCTTGTCTATGGTTGAAAGACAGTTCAATATGAAGGTAAGGATGTTAAGGTCTGACAATGCACTAGAATTGGGGAAAGGGACACAGGAAGCAGCCTTTTTGGCTTCAAAAGGAATTTTGCATCAACTATCTTGTGTGGCAACACCACAACAGAATGGAATTATTGAAAGGAAGCATAGACATCTTTTAGAAATTGCTAGAGGTCTAATGTTTCAGTCTAGACTGCCTATGTGCTATTGGGGAGAAGCTATTCTGATTGCTACACATATCCTAAATAGGTTACCCTCCAGAGTCCTTCAAGGAAAGACACCATATGAAGTTCTGTTTCAACATAAACCCAAGTATGATTACTTCAGAAATGTTGGATGTCTATGTTATGCTTCTACATTGGCACAAGGAAGAGGGAAGTTTGATGAGAGGGCAACAGCTTGTGTTCTGCTTGGTTATCCCCTCCAACAAAAGGGATATAAACTACTGGAATTGTCCAGCAGGAAAGTTTTTGTGTCAAGAGATGTTAGGTTTCATGAATCCCATTTCCCCTTCACAGAAATCAATATAGCACACCATCCTATTTTCCCAACTTCAACCTTCAACTCTGAACCTACCTTTTCTCTCACATCACCAGATCAAACACAACCTGATTGCTCAAACCATGAAATACCAGATGATTTTTTACCACAACCATCAACCCCTTCCTCCTATTCACCTATTCATCACTCAGCCTCACCTAGCCCAGCTCCAGCATCTACTGGAGTAGATCCATCACATACTCATATACCTACACCTATACCTCAAGACCCTATTCCCTTGAGGAGATCAGGAAGGATCTCTACTCAACCTTCCTACTTAAAAGACTTTGTGTGTAGTAGCATCATGTTCACAGATGTAGCTACAGCCTGTTTTACTCACCCCTGTCAGCCAAAAGAATGCAGTTTTTCATCCCTCTCACCCAATAACCAACATGTCATGCAATCCATCTCTACTCTAAGAGAACTTTGCACTTTTACCCAAGCCTGTCAGGATCCAGGATGGGTAGAAGCCATGAATGTAGAAATTAGAGCACTAGAAAATAATCACACTTGGGATGTGGTTGAGTTACCTAAAGGAAAAAGGGCTTTACCTTGTAAATGGGTATACAAGGCGAAGCACTTATCAGATGGGAAAGTTGAAAGATTGAAGGCAAGATTGGTAGTAAGGGGGGATGTTCAAAGAGAAGGGATAGATTATGGTGAGACCTTCTCACCAGTGGTCAAGATGACAACCATAAGGTGTCTCCTCACTGTTGCAGATAAGAAGGATTGGTTTGTTTCTCAATTGGATGTAAATAATGCATTTTTGCATGGAGACCTTCAAGAAGAGGTCTACATGAAGTTCCCTGCAGGCTTGGATCCTCCTAGTCCCAAACATGTATGCCTTTTGAGAAAATCACTATATGGCCTAAAGCAAGCATCTAGGCAATGGTATGCTAGACTTGCCGGAGCTCTAAGTTTTAAGGGATATTCATCTTCATTAAATGACTATTCTTTGTTCTTTAAGCGTACAGGGAGCCTTATTTCTATCCCAGCAGTCTATGTTGATGACATACTGATTACAGGGGATGATTTAGATGAGATTCAAGGGATCAAATCTTTTCTGAATACTGAATTCAAGATCAAACATTTGGGAGACATTTATTATTTCCTAGGCATGGGAGTTTTGAGAGAAAAAGCAGGTTTTATGGTGAGTCAAAGAAAGTTTACCTTAGACATGCTGCAGGAATTCGATGTCTCACATTTGCCTTGAGTGAGCTCCCCTTTGGATCCCTCCTTCAAGCTCCAAGATAATAATCAATACCTACAAAACCCCACTGTATATCATCATTTGGTTGGAAAGTTAAATTTTTTAACCAATACACGACCAGATCTCTGTTTTGCTGTTCTTACCCTTAGTCAATACATGCAGAAACCATGCCTTTCCCATTTTTCTGCTGCTCTGCGAGTGCTCAAATATCTCAGTTCTGACCCAGGACAAGGGATCTTACTCTCCGCTGAGCCATCTTTCTCTTTACTTGCCTTTTGTGATGCTGATTGGGCTTCCTGCAAAGATTCACGAAGGTCTGTTAGTGGTTTCTTTATCACCTTAGGAGGTGCACCTATCTCCTAGAAATCGAAGAAGCAGGCCTCAATTTCTTTATCTTCCGCAGAGGCGGAATACAGATCTATGAGAAGGGTGACTGCAAAGCTTACCTGGTTGGTTCGACTTCTTGACGATCTCTCTGCACCAGTCACTCTTCCGATTCCTCTTCATTCTGACAGCAAAGCAGCAATCCACATCGCCCGGAACCCAGTTTTCCATGAACGAACAAAACATGTGGAAATTGACTGTCACTTTGTGCGACAACAATTCCTTTCCGGCTTAATCACTCTCTCCTTTGTTCCCTCCAAGGCTCAACTAGCAGACATATTTACGAAACCTCTTTCTGGGGTTTCTCATCGAGACATTTTAAGCAAGTTGGGGGTAACTACATTCCCCTCCACCTTGAGGGGGGATGTTGAGAAGAAGAACCCCTATTCTAATTCTGAGATTCCTCAATTTTTGTCTACACATCATGAAGGTGAAGAAAACACAGTCAAGAAGAAGAAGAAAGGTGTTTAGACAAGAAGAGTCTCGATATAATCTAAGTACCTTAGATTATATCTGTGGCTTGTTGAACTGGACACGTGGAGCAAATTAGACCCTTGGATCGTGCAAGCATACTCTATGATGGATCAAGTAATAGCCCTCAGATTTGTTTAACACTCTAGAACTTTCCCTCACGTGAGTAGCATGTGAGGGAATCAAAGTTTGTTGCTGATGGAATAATGTAGTTATAGATATTATAGATAGGCAAATTAGATGGTGACAAGTGTATAGATTTTTCCTTTTCCTGTTATTTTTTAATTCTTTAGCAATTGTATATATACATGTACAGATTGATGATGAAATACACTGAAATTTCACAATCTTCTCCTTCAAATTCTTACAATTTACCAATAGTACAATTGGTTAAACTACGAGAATAATCTACGAGTTTTTTATGACATGTCTATGATAATCACGAACAAACATAGTACAACATAGAGGTTTGACGTATATAAGTTAAATTAAATAATTTTCTATATACGATGAAAGCATTTCTCTTCTCAGATACCTTTGCATGGACGATCCGTTGGACCGTTACATATGGAACTTTTCCGGATTAGTTTTCTTAAAGAGTATGAATTAAAGTTATATATGTATATATATACTATCACAATGTAAGTTTTTAATGTTGTTTAATACGAGATAGCAGACTAGTTATGTACTATCTTTCTACTAGAGTATCAATTAATACCTTAATATAGTAATTTCTGTACAAACTTTATATGTGATCTGATTGTATAAATAATTTTTTTTGCAGCGTGTGCTAATAGATTAACTCAAGTTATATATGTTTTCGTAATCAAGAAGTCCTGAATTGCTCCCGTTTGGCCATACGTTTTTTCCTCACTTTTTTTCCAAAATATTTTACAAACATTGTTTGGTTAATTATAAAAAGTGACCAGATTTTGGGAAGTTTTTGAAGATGAATTTTTCAAGTTTCAAAAAGTGGTTTAAATTAGTTTTTTAAATTTTTTACTCACAAAATTTCTACTTTTTTTCAAGTAATATACATGTCCAAATATAATTTCAACTTTCAAAAATTATTTTTCATCTCATCGAATGAAGAAATTATAAAGGAAAACTTATTGAATGGTTAAAGGAAAACCAGAAGTTGGTACTTGGCAGAGTGATTTTGATTCTTTGTTCTAATATGATGGCTGGGAAAGAAAAAAGACGAATTTTTTAATGTGCTCATTCCTCTATACATGTAATCTTGATTTTTCCAGCTCATTCTCTCTAAGATAGATCCAATTTCTTTTTCTTTTCTTCTTCTTCTTTTCCCCGAACGTTCATTCTCCATTATTTTTCGAGAGATAAATAGGCTTTGACAAAAATAAATTTGCCAGACAGCATTTTACGTGCACGATTTTGCATGTTCTTTTATTAATATATTTACTGATTTTATTAAACAAAATATGTTAATTTCTTTAGACTCTACTGAATGTTGTACAAGTTATACAAAATATGCCCCTATGCAAAATCTTGGTTAAATTAATTAGATGGACAATATGGACACGTGCCCTTAAAACTTTATATTAGCCGAATACCAATACGATATAGTCTGACCTAATATGCTCTAATTCTATATTATTACTCCATAAGCCAACAAGTCGGTGCATTATTAGTTTATTAATTAATTTGATATGTCTATAATTAGCTTGGTACTTGAAAAATACAGGAAGTAGGTAAATAAATAGAGGAAACTTTTTCATGTAGTAATAGTTCTGTCACTTTCTAATGTGGCTGCAGCTAAGCAAAAGCTAAAAAGGCTAAAGAAGCCATTGACAAGGACCTTCATCTCATGCATTTCATGATTATTGATTTTTCCTCTACCATAAGTTCACTCTAAGTACGTAATATACAATAATTACTAATTAAGTATATAACTTAAGACACAATTAACAAACCTAATAAAGACTGATTGACCAAGCCCTTAAGTTAGTCAATATAATAACGTATATATCCTTTTCTAGCCATCTATAAATAAACAAAAAACCATGGCCATTACTACTCAAGTCCACAATTATTTAAAGCTTTCCAAACCAGGCTATTTTTGTTTCATCTTCTTGAAACAAAAAGTGTCTTTGTTGACATCTCTTAAAAATGTTGTGTTATTGTTTGGTGTTTTTGTCACGTACGATGGTTTTGTTTCAGTTATTTGTTGCCTCATGTAAAGGGAAAGTTCAGCTGCCGGAAAATGTAACAGTGAAGGCTGTTTTTGCTTTCGGAGATTCCATTGTTGATCAAGGAAACAATAATCACATAACAACAGTTGTTAAATGTAATTTTGAGCCATATGGGAAGGATTTCTTGGGTGGAAAACCTACTGGAAGGTTTAGCAATGCTAAGACCCCCTCCGACTTGATAGGTATATATGCTCATTCTCTATATATATATTGACTTTGATATTGTATTTTTAAACTTTCTAAAACTTAAAAAGAGTACTAGACATATTTTTTTAGTTTCTTAGTATCAAGGAAGATTGTCTCCGCGATCAGTGCCTGCTGTTTTTAACGGTAGTCTCTTGTCATGTATTTATCCTCCACCATAAACATCGTCATTGTCTCTTTGTCTCAGAGAAATAATTAAAAAACAATCAACCTCTTCAAGTTGTCTACTAATGCTTGCATTATATTAGGCTGTCTATATTATACCCTTAGCTTGGGGTGCATCCTTTTATGAACTTTGCATGAATGTGGGATGCTTTGTGTATCGGGCTGTACCCTGCTTAATAATTAACTTCTTCAAGTTGTCTAGATGAGTTGCTTAAAATCACTTAAATCATGGTGCAGTTACTGTTATTACACTGTATTTGTAAAATAAATTCTGGAAATATAAATGAATATAAACAGTAATGAATATAAACAGAAATGACATAAACCAATTCGAGCCCACTGAATTCACAGTGTTTCCTTAAGGAATTTAATCCCCTCCTAGTACCCAAGGTTATGGATTATTTCCTCCCAGGATAGAACGAATTACACACTGGTGTAGTGGTACTTCAAACCCCAGTGTTTCAGCGAACACAAAGTTCGGTAGCAAATCACACTTACTTTTTGCTTTGTTTTGATGCTAAAAGTATGCAGAAGAAGGAGAGGAAACTCAGAAAATTGTAGTTAAAATTCTGAGCAGAATAGTGTTGTATTTATAGCCAAAGTTGGGTCTCTTCAGAATGGCTGTTTATGCAAAACGCCCACAATATAAATGCCATTACATAAATGGTCATTTACTCAATAATAAAGAGGGAAAATAAAGAGGGTAGTTACTTTTCTGTTACCAAAACAGAAAAACGGATTGGATTTAATATTAATATTTTGTTATTAAAACAAATATTTAATAACATTTCTGTTAATATTTTACTATTAACAAATAAATTTGGTCCAAAAAGTTAATCAATCAATCATTTGACCAAATCCAAATCCGAATCCGAATCCGAATCCGAATCCGAAGCCGAAGCCGAAGCCGAAGCCGAAGCCGAAGCCGAAGCCGAAGCCGAAGCCGTAGCCGAAGCCGAGCCGAGCGAGCGACGACGACGACGGCGCGAGGCTTGCCTTCTTCTCAACTCTTTAAGAGCTAGAAGAAGAGCAATTGCTTATATACCCATAAAAAACCTCTTCCTCTTCCAATATGGGACAATGCCCATTTGCCAAGGGAGGGGGAACTTAAAATTTCACTCAAAAATTTCATTTCCCTCCATTTCCCATTCACCCTCTTTTAAGTATTTAATATATTAATTAAATACCTTAAAAACCCAACAATCCCCCACATGAATGGGGAATGGCTATATCACGGAAGTATGCATGAAAAACTGTGTGATTCACAAGTAAGGATTAATTGCATCTGGATAAGTAGGTTTCCCTTTGAACTTTCCGTAGTGAACTTATGTCGGATATACTCGATCAATCGGTAGATTTGATATCTTTGAACCGTCGAACTTTAGTGTATACCTAGACAACCACAAGTCACACAACCAACCCTTAACCGTCTTTGGTTCTCATTGTTGTGTTCGTTTCAGCCATGAACACCGCCTGGTTTCATAAGTGCGTAGAGAACTGGCCTTACTGTGTTCTCCTTGAAGCGGCTAACACTTCACACTTACATAGGTGATTCCTAAACGTGTCATCCCGTAGATACACTATTTGATATACCCTGTATCAAATTTAGAAATCATTAAAAAGCCTTAATGCTTTATCCTTGGTACTGAACATTGTCTCATCACGAGAATGGACCAAAAGTTTAGTTGACAATGTTGAACCGTCATAAATGACTTTGTTTGATCTCCTTGAACCTAGATCTTGGGATCTCCAGTCTTCTAGGTAGAGTTACCGCCACTATGACTTGTTCTCGGCCACAGTCCCATTCCCTTTGATGACTTCTCAACTACCTCTCTAGTTAGGCCTTTTGTAAGTGGATCCGACACATTATCACTTGACTTTACATAGTCAATCGTGATAATTCCTCTAGAGAGTAATTATCTAACGGTTTTATGTCTTCGTCGTATATGGCGAGACTTACCGTTATACATAACGCTCCCAGCCCTTCCAATTGCCGCTTGACTATCACAATGTATGCATATTGGTGCCAACGGTTTGGGCCAAAATGGAATATCTTCCAAGAAATTCCGGAGCCATTCAGCTTCTTCACCGGCTTTATCCAAGGCTATGAACTCAGCCTCCATTGTAGAGCAGGCAATACAAGTTTGTTTGGATGACTTCCAAGATACCGCTCCTCCACCAATAGTGAATACATATCCACTTGTGGACTTGGAATCAGTTGATCCGGTGATCCAATTTGCATCACAGTATCCCTCAATGACCGCAGGATATTTATTGTAATGCAAAGCAAAGTCCTGGGTATGTACTAAATACCCCAAAACTCGTTTCATGGCCATCCAATGAGATTGGCCTGGATTGCTCGTATATCGACTCAATTTACTTATAGCACAAGCTATATCTGGTCGTGTACAATTCATGATGTACATTAAGCAACCCAACACACGAGCATAATCCAATTTTGACAACATTGTTTGGTCAAATTTAGCATGCCATTGTTTGGGTGCTTGTTTTAATCCGTAAAGGGACTTAACAAGTCTACAGACCTTCTTTTCTTTACCTGGAACCACAAACCCTTCAGGTTGTTCCATGTAAATTTCTTCCTCCAACTCTCCATTTAAGAAGGCCGTCTTAACATCCATTTGATGAATTTCAAGACCATAAACTGCAGCTAACGCTACTAACGTTCGTATGGATGTAATTCTTGTAACTGGAGAGTATGTATCAAAGTAGTCAAGACCTTCTCGTTGTCTATACCCTTTGACCACAAGTCTTTCCTTATACTTGTCAATAGTACCATCATCTTTTATTTTCCTCTTAAAGATCCATTTAGATCCCAACGGTTTGTTTCCAGGAGGAAGATCAACCAATTCCCATGTATGGTTGTTTAGTATGGATTCTATTTCACTATTGACCGCCTCTTTCCATAACAATGATTCCGAAGAAGACATAGCTTCTTTAAATGTTTGAGGCTCATTTTCCAATAAGAAAGTCACAAAATCTGGTCCAAATGAAGTAGACGTTCTTTGACGTTTACTACGTCTTGGATCTTCTTGGTTAAGTGTACTTTCTTTTGTTTCTTCCCGAGGTCGTTTAGATCCTTCACCAATCGACTCACATTCCTTTTTATACGGATATATATTTTCAAAGAACTCAGCATTATCTGATTCTATAACCGTATTATTATGAATGTCGGGATTTTCTGATTTATGAACCAGAAATCGATATGCTTTACTATTAGTTGCATATCCTATGAAAACACAATCAACGGTTTTCGGTCCTATTTTTACCCTTTTGGGTTTAGGAACTTGCACTTTTGCCAAACACCCCCACACTTTAAAATAATTCAAGTTGGGTTTCCTTCCTTTCCATTTTTCATATGGAATGGATTGTGTTTTGCTATGGGGTACTCGATTTAGTATTCGGCTAGCCGTAAGAATGGCTTCCCCCCACAAGTTCTGTGGCAAACCAGAACTTATCAATAATGCGT